GGGGGGGGGGGGCATTTCGCGTAATATACACTATAAAACACGAGGAAGATGAGAAATCATTATATTGAAAAATGCAATTACTTAAATATTGAACAGCATGTAATACGATTGGAAACTTATAATTCCATCTGTTTTTGCATTGCAAGAACATAATGTATAAGACAAACGTATATATACATACGCAACGACTCCGTTGTATTTGATTAATAATTTTAATGCACTTTACTGGTGCAAAAAGATAGGATTATATATCTCATTCAACTATGAATTCGTTATAATTCGCGACCTGCGAGAATTACGGCAATTAATACACAATCTTTTACTTTCTCTTACATATAAGCGATCGCAAGGTTCCGTTTAACAACGATATTTTTTTTGTAGCGCGACGGATATCTTCAAGCCAAAATACAACTACATCTACAGCAATTATTGTCGGTTTCCTCAGAGAGTATTTGAACGGCACGAATCGGCGAGATATGATGATTTCATTTCAAACCCAACAACCACTCGGCTACGCCGAGATAATAAACGGTTTGCGCAATTCCAAACAACGGTGCTATGACGATCATTCGGCAAGCACCACCTTTGAAGAACGCTGTCGGTCCCTCGTTTTTAAATGTCTTCCTACAAATCAAGAATATAATTATTGCAAGATATTTTATTTATTTTCTTTGCTACAATTCGAGATTTAAAGATATAAAAATTTATAGAACTGATCCATGATATAATCTTGAAGATAAATTTAACGACCAATGAATATAATATATATTTGACTTCAGTTAAACTCACGTTATGCAGTCTAATACTCCATTGTACGTTGGTTCACCAGGTGCTTTTTTGATAACTTGCAATCTAGTTTTGATTACGTCAAATGGATTGACCATTAATGCGGCTGTTGAACCGGCCGCGCATCCAGCAAGGAATGAACACCAGAATACAGCTAATGAGAAGAGTATTACTTAATTCACTCTCGTTTAGAGACGATCGCGTATCTGATAGCATGACACAATTACTGAACACGCTTACATGAACCGTCTTCGCGCTTCGGGCCGAGATCATTCAGCCTGGCGAACAGAGGAAAATAAATAACGGAAAACGTAACGTCCCTAAGTGCCGTGGCGCCGGTTCCTTGATACAACCCAAGTATACCTCGTTTCCTAAGTAAATCCACCGTTAATGACCAAGCAGATACGTTCGGCACTTCTTTACCCGCTGCAACAATAAAGGACAATATAATTTCCACTAACAATAAGAGTAATAGAGAGTAGTGTGATTTTTCACATAAGAGAGTAATAATCTTGAAATGAGGGCACAATTTTGCGATGAGATTATCTTATTTTCTATATCTATTATTACCATTATTTGTTTATACATGAATAGCGGAAAATCAAATTAGATACATCTTTAATTTGATTTTTTAGCTATCTTACAACGTGCATTGCATCTATGATGTAAGATATCACATTCAATCATTTTTAATTCTACAAAGTGTATAGTCGACATGGCAATATTTATCGGTATATCGGATATTTTAAAAAGAATCAAGAAATGCAAGATTCTTGTTCGAATTATATTAAGTCATAAGAAAACAAGAGAGATATAATAATGAGATGATTGAAATGAAAAAATTTTTAGATATATGTATAATCTCGCTATATTTGACAAGCCGTGTATTTGCGAGAAACAAAACCTTCTGAAATATCATATCATCGTATCACCTTCTTTAGCTGCCATGGCGACTCTGCCAGCGTCTTGCATTTGTATTTTGAGCAGTTCCATCGGAGTGGTAACGATTATTTGGCATGCTCCCGCCAAGCCGCCGGCGAGCATTTCACGTTCTATTGGCAATTTTTGTCTGGATAACAAAGATTAACAGAGTGCTGGGATCACGGAAAAATTGAGGAAAATATCAGTATACGAGATTATGTAGGACTGACATGCACAATCGATCAATTTTCGAAAAACCGAAAAGATTATTAAATTTTGGAGAAATTTTTTTATTTTATATTTGACTAATTCGATTTTATTATAACTGATTTTATCAATTAAATGAATAGGCGATTATTCGCACAATCGGCTATTTAAAAATTGATTTTCCATATCCTGAATGTGAACAGAATCTAATTCATTCAAGTAACAATCCGGATGTTACTGATAATGAATATTATTTTGAAAAAATGTTTCAAGTATTACTAATTGCCAGATTGCAAATCGGAATGGTCTGTGTTTTATGCAATACACGCGATGTACATAGAAAAAAAGAATAGAGTGCTCTCACACGAAGCAGCTTCCTACGTTTAAAAAAATTCTGATTTTCGATTTTTCGAATTTTTCAAAATTTTCAAGTATAATTTGGTTCTTTATAATTTTTTCTCCGATAGTATGAAGTTAATCTTTAGTTTCGGGAAATAATTATCAAAGAGTACCAGCCCTAATATAAGGAAGATTATTCAACGTTATTGGCATGATCGCGTGACAAGTAGTATATCTCAAGCATCTGATGGACCGCGGAGCATCAAAAACATTAGCAACAAATGTAAATGAAGAATTTTAATAAATTATTACTATATAATTATATATTAAAAAACATTTTGAAAAAGGAGACAAAAACAAATGATGTAGATAAATTATAATAAAACTTACAAAATTTTAAGCTAACATAAGAAATTGACAATGTTCAATTCCTATCTGAAATCTTCTAATTAAATTGGTACAAATTTTGATGTATCATCAATTCTTGAATTGCTCTAAAAATATTTTATAAGAAAGAAAAGGGGGAGGGAGGGAAGCAAAAAAATTACCCTGCTTTCCTCGATTACTTGCGACTTGATTAGCTATTAATGGTTGCTCGCATCGTTTGCCAGGTCATTTCAAACTGGTATAGCTATATTCAAACTGGTACCATCAGTTGTCTAGAAGTATAGAACGATATATTTCAATATGTTTTATGATGGCATAAGATTCTAACATAATAACGCGAGAGCACAAAAATTCGATTTTTTTTAGCTTTTCTAGATATGTTTGATTAATTTAGGATTAAAACTAAAAAGTTGTTTCAAATTCCTTTCTGATTACCGATAATTGTTTGATATATTAAATAAATGTATATTTTGGTATGATTTACTTGGAAAAGACAGTGTTATAATAAAACTAAGCAGTTATCGAAATAAATCAATAATAGTTATTAGAATAGCAAAGATAACATGTCCAAAAAAATATGATGCTCTTTGCTTATCAAGTTATGATATAGCATACATTAGTTTTTGGGGCTTTTCAATTACGTACACATTTTTTTTTTAAACATTATGGTTACTTTGTTGCATTTCTAAAATTACTAAATATCTGATGCTTTTAATAATATTCTTTTTAAAAAGTAAAATTTAAAACGTTGAGAAATAAAGAAAAATCATACACACATATACACATATCATACATTATTATAGTATATATAGATCTGATTTTCTTGACAAAGAAATTAATAACACATGTGATACACATTTCATTTTTAATATAATAGTTTTCATATCTATGTGCTTTCTATTGTGCACATCACTTGATTTGATTAATACTCTTCGGCTTCTCTCGCACTTTGCGATTGCTATCAACGTAATTTATACTTACTGCGGCTTCACATATATAGATATACGTACTATTCGTTCATTAGAAGCAGAAGCGTGCGCTCGGCATATTTAATTAAATAAATGAAGACGTTAATTATAAAATTTACGATACATAGTTCCGATGTCAAAACGTAAGCTTGTTTGCTTTATATCAATTTAATGCAGATGATGATTTAATAAATGTTTATCGCATAAAATGAATAAAAGCATTATATACATTTCTGTAAAATGATCACTTTTGCAAATAGCTAATTGAAAAGCCCACTTAATAAACTTGATGTTATTCAGTTTAATAGAGAAATTATCATATATGTAAAATATGTTTCATGTTGATCTATTTGCCATAAACTTTGAATAACCTCCTTTAAAACATGGAAATATTAAATACACGATAGAGGAAAATATAATGGCGAACATTAAGGTTTTTTAACAGATTCACAACAGAAAGTGTAATAACTGAGTGGCAACAACATACAAGAAAAGTGAGAAATAATATGTTAGTTAATGGATATTAATTCATAACCATAATGGATTAATGAAAATTAAAAAAAATATTTTCTTTTTCTAAATTTATAATTAAACAGACCTTTTGAGTTATTTGGAATGTTTAATTATAAGTATACATAAGGAGACTATTTATCACTCTTCATAACTATTTTAAAATCTAAACAAAATATATACTATTCCATGCCAAGCTCTTGTAGATTAGTTTTCGCTCCGGTTAATGTTGCATATGAGGAGCAAGCTCATACTTCTTTAATAACATGAAAAATACTTAAAAAATATTATACAACATACCCGACTCCGGGAGAAAGATAATGTCTAAATGTATCATTGGCAGTAAGTTTGATAGCTTTCTCGGGTGTAATCAATAATATATTTACAGCGGATCCTTTATACATTCCAAAATACCCTTCCGCTTTATAAGTCTTTTTAAAACAATCGAACCTGAAAGAAAAATAATTATTTACATACGGTTATGATAAATTTTCTAATTTTAGATACATGCAATACGAAGTATGATAAATAAATAGATTATATAAATTAATATTGCAAAGCCGTTTTGTCTTTTTCTTACAATTAATTGGCACATTTTTGTTTTTAGCTCCTAATGTACTAATATAATAAAATATATAATAGCTATTATGTAATAATATAGTAGCTAGATATTTAATAGCTAGTAATTTTTAAATAAAAATACTTGCATTGAATTATACATCCGTTCTCCATTCGGGCCGATAACTTGATTCTGTAATCTCGTTTTAACCAAATCGAGCGGGAACACTACGGAAACTCCAATAATTCCAGCAATTCCACCATTTATGATTTTTGGTATAAGCCTGTAAAATAAAAACAAACTCTTAATATATGAAAAAGATATATTTTGCTATATTAAATTACCATGTTTATAAAAAGGAAATGCAGGAATTCACGTAATCTTATTACTTTTAATAATTTTATTATAAAATTCAAAATGAGACAATAATGAGCAATTTAACATATTCCGGTATATATTCAAATATATTTTTCGTGTATAATCATTTTATAAAATATTTGTAGTTCTACGAAAGAGAGAGAGGGAGGGGAAAGTTTTAAATGTATAAGAATACGTACTTGAATTGTTCCGCGGATTTCAAAGTTGGACTATTTTGTGCCATTATTACTACGTATCAGGGTCCCGCACCTATAAAAAAAAATATAAAATTCACGAGAAAAAGCATTATTTTTGTTCCACACAATCAATATAAGCAAAAACTTTTCAGATTTCTTGTAAAAAATATTCCAAAATATTCTCTCTAAAAGATATATCTTATGAAATTGAGAATAATTTGTGCCAGTACAACGGTACAAAACCATTTAAATCGCAAGTGCTAATCGTGATACTGCTAGAACACGCTAAACAGTAGTCAAAACATTGTGCCAAAACTTGAAGGCCGTTTCATATAACACTTTATATATGCACTTTACGGCGCATCTTGTCAATCAAATCGTACTTTTTGGGAAAAAATTGATGTGGCATGTTCAATACACTGTATCATCAATTTTTATTGATAGAAAAGTACATAATGCAATTGACGTTATACGAAAATAAAAATTTAAGAATATTTTATACGTAAAATTTTTTGACATTATTTTTACGGATTTTACACATCTCATCTGCGGTAACATAAAACTAGATATTTTCTATATAATCTTGGCATGAGAGCCACATATAGTGTAATTGTGATCAATACATGTATTTATATCTATATTTTTCCAGCTAATCCACAAAAACTGCTCCACTTTACCTTATAATAATAAATGAAAATCAACATTTTAATTTTAATTTTAATTTCTTTATTATCGGGATACTAAAAGATTTTAGTGTGACAAGAGATAAATTCTGTAGATATTTTTGATCGAAAAATTACAAATTCTAAATTGGTCAAAGGATTTATCGATAAAAAGAGATGTTGAATGAAACACAATTCTTTATTAAAGTATAAAAGAATCGATCGTTCATTGTGCAAAGACAGGTGAAAAATTCTTTTGAAATTTTTCCCATACAATCATCTAACATGTGACGGTTTCGAATCCATCTATTCAATTATGTGTATTTTGACGCATTCGTATCACCTTGGGAAATCATTTCTCTCAAGGAGAGGGAATTTTCCGTGATGTCAATTGATTCGATTGCATGTGCGACGAGTTCAGTTGTTACGTTACAACGGGCATTGACATCCTATAATAGCGTTATAAATGTGACGTTTGTTGAGCGACAGATAAATCGCCAATCTCCCGACCGAATCGTACAAATTGATTTTGCTTTATCTATATTTCTCCCAATCTATTGCATAATGTTCCGTAGTCACGAATGAGATCTAGTCGATATATATTATATTAGATTTCAATTTCCTTTTTTTATCAAGATTATTAGCAAATGGCTATCTATCCCAGTAGATAGTAGATTGCTGTAATGCAAATAAAAATGAATAATCCTTAAATATATGTATAAGTAGTAATTTTTTTCATTGCACACTAACTGAAATGTTACGAAATAATTGTCACAAAGTGGTTTTAAAGATAAAATCAACGCGACTTGGTATTAAAAATTTAAGAATAAGCTGAAATTATCTTTATGGAAGCAGTCATATCTATTTGAATAATTACTGCATAACTCAACTATGACCTATTGCAGTGATGTAGTATTATCAGCGTACACTTTTGATTATTGTGGAAATTTCATGATTCAATAAATATTTATTTATTAAATATGAATAATCGTGAAAAATAAACATTTATACTAATTTGCAACGAATTCGTACATGTAATCGATAGCGATGAGATTTTCTTCGCCAATTTTTATTTCACTGGATATATTATAAATAAATTATATTAAAATATGTTAATAGATTGATTCGAAGCTCTCGGAGGGTTTTTATATAATTAACTAAAAAAATTCTGTCTTTATATTAAAGATACACGTAAAAAATGTATTAGATTCCCATCCACATTTCCATTTATTTTACAAATAATGTGACTAAATTAAATGTGATAATGGTGTTGATTTTCCAACACTAAAATTATTTGGAATAAATAATTTTTACAGTTTATACTATGTATAAGATCCCAGACAGCACAAGACATTTCCATTTATTTCACAAATAATGTGACTAAATTAAATGTGATAATGGTGTTGATTTTCCAACACTAAAATTATTTGGAATAAATAATTTTTACAGTTTATACTATGTATAAGATACCACATACTGTGCTCTTAACTATGAACTGCGATCAGCTGATTTAATAACGTGTCGTTTATCGTGACAGGAAGAGCACGTTCCCGCGCGGGCAACAAAATTTCTGCCGAAAATCGCGAATAGAATCGCGCATCGCAAAATGAAAATAACTCGCACGCGACATGATACTAATTTATGTGTGCAACCTTAGTATTATGTCAACTCTATTATTATTCTGTTAATAAAAGGCGGAAGTACGTTTGCAAAAATCGAATTCTTGCGGTTATTCGGCACAATAAATGCGGAAGAAAAAGAAACGAGACACGCGTTCATACGGAATTATTAGGATGAATAATGCGATGTATAACTTGACATGATAGGTCCGCACTTACAGAGTGTCAGGGAAATCTGATAATATACTGGGCGGTCGTCTCGCAACGTCGATGTCCCACGATATGTCTCAGGTTCCTGACGAGATGTTGGTGAAAAAACTCAATCAACTATTAACTACTGAAATATACTTCTATAACGCCGGCCGATTCTGTCAGCAGCATCAGCTGGTGGTCTATCAATAGCGTTTTTGACAGAAGCTGCGAATATCAGGACTATCATCTATACGTTACGAAATACGCAGACGCCGCACATGTACTCGCAGTATTGCCATCTACGGAAATCTGAAAGTTCCTTTTCTCAATTTTTTAGTTCTACACCAAATTTCTCTATAGCAGAGAGAAACCTGAGAGGGGTCACGTCGCCGTTTTTCATAAGACATTTTTTCTAGCTGGTACAGTGGCGCTAACTGAATCCATTTTAGAGCCGGGGGAACTTCATGGCCAGATCCACTTTTTGATGCCATGGTAAAACGACCGATTGGTGCATGTCCATGCTAAACACATTGTGGATCAAAAATGCGAAGAAATATTATGGATTTATTGATGTTTTATTAGCTGCGCGTGATGTTTTGCTATTCTAGTATATATTATGAGCAGTGATAATAAGTTATTATTAAAGTATTTTTATGTATATGCGCATGTGACATATAAAATAAATTTTCTTAAATAAATTTTTTTAAATTAGTTTTCTTAATAATATTTTTCCTAATTTTTAAATATATAACGTGTAGAAGATATTTACAATTAATTGCTTTTACATTTTTCTTATTCTCGAAACAAAATTATCAAGCATTTTAAGTAATATCAAATTATGTTTTTAACTTATATAGCTTTTTATAATTATTTAGTTTATTATTAATTATATTATTCAACTAATTTTTAATTTATAAATTTAGTTGTATACACTAATGCGCACCGATGCACATTAAAAGCGATTATATACA